GGCCCTGCACCCAAGGATCAGTCCTGATGGGGCTCCGGGTCCATCTGTGGTGCCAGGGACTGAATCCGGATCTGTCATGCTTGCACGGCAAGCGCCTTACGGGCTGTGCTATCTCTCCAGCACCATGATTCTTAGTTCCTAGGGATTAAATTATTTCATCCCTTTCGAAGTAAGGCTCTTCCAAACATGGATGAGGATGAACTTTCCTCTGGTTGACCATAATTCACGTGGTCACATTCAAGCCTTGTGAAACGACCTTACGTTTGGGTTTCTCCTTTTTTCCGAGCAGATGTGAAAATGCAAAGAAAATAAAACTCAAGGCCTAGGTTTGGGGTACATAAAGAAGCCCCCTGAGGTTTTTAAGTTTAGCAAATATTTGTTCGGCACCTCTTGTATGCAAGTACCCGTGCTCCGTCCAGCCACCCCGAGGACTTACAAGGAGCCTACGGTGGACCGTTGACCAGAATGAAGAGAGCAAATTAGTAACTCCCAGTCTCCACACCAGAGGCAGCCTGGAGTGATCCCGGGAGCAATCATGGAAACCTTTCCAACTGAACTTTGAAGGACAGAGTTGGAGTTTTAATGAAAATTGAAAATTGAAAATTGAAATTTTAATTTTAATTGGAGATTGCAGTTTGATGGCTACAGAAATGAGACACTTGAAAAAAATAAAATAGGGCTGGATTGCTAGTGTAGCAGCAGGGCGCCTGCCCTATGTGTGGCTGACCCAGGTGCGATCCCCGGCCCCCCAAATCCCACCAGGAGTGATTCCTGAGCACAGCCAGGTGTGGGCCCAAAAGCAAAATGAAAGAATTAAGGAACGGTTGTTGCTGGGTCAGAGAGATTGTGGAGCCGGTGAGGTGTTTGCCTTGCAGATAGCTGACCCAGGATGGATTCCTCCAAGGAGGAATGCCAGGGGTGGCCCAATATCCCGTTCCTCACACACCCCTACGCAGTGTGGAGCATGACTGTTGGGTGACGCTTTTTGCGTGTGCTGAGGTAAGTTGATGCACGGCAGTTCTGTGCTGAGTTCCAGCTCCTGACCACCTGTCTGGGTTTGAAACTCAGTCAGGAAGGCAGTGACGGGTCTGATGAGTGGCCTTTGACCGTAGCAGTGGGGAAGTGGCTCAGAGTGCCAGTCTCTGCCTGCCTCGTGCATTAGTATTGGGAAAGCTGTTGGGTCATGAGTTCCTGAAGAGCCTTCCGTCACAGTGGGTGTTTGATTTTTTTTCATTTCGCCCCATTTAGGAAGAGGGGCAAATGTGATTTGAGGTTAGCATTAAGAATGTGGGTGCTTGGGGCCAGAGTGATAGCACAGTGGGTAGGGCTTTTGCCATGCATGCGGCCAACCCAGATTTGGTTCCCAGCATCCCATAGGGTCCCCTGAGCACCACCAGGAGTAATTTTTGAGTGCAGAGCCAGGAAGAACCCCTGAGCATCGCTGGGGGTGTGACATCCCCTCCCCAAAAGAGTTGGGTGCTGCTCCTGGATTCCTCCAGAATAATCTTGGGAAAGAAAGGAGGCATATTCATAGAGTCGCTTCTGCTAGCGTTTCCACCCCGCCCATCTGTGCCCATTCCTGTGGTAGAACAGCTCCAGGATGACAGGTGGGGGTCCGGGTCTGCATCCCCCCACCCCCAGTTCCCTTGCCTTCCCCACAAACCCTTAAGTAAGGTATCTTCTGCTTGCACATGTTCATCTGCACACAAACAGGGCTGCCTTCTCAGAAGTTCCTCACCAGCAGTAAGTTCTCTTGGGAGAACTTGGACCCGCCCACCCCCACCCCCAGGTCCTTCAGTTCCCTTGGGCCACAGGCTTTCCCACTGGCCCCACATATAGGAAGTTACTCACCTGGAGACAAGGTAGGAAGGCTTGGTAGGGAAGCACCTACAACCCTCTACTTCCGGTTTCTAAGCTCCCCAGCACCCTACCCTCAATTCCACTTCCGCCCACTTCGGATGGGAATTCTCTAATATTTGGCTCTCTGGTAGGTCTGCATGTGATGTGCTTACTTGGGCCAGGCTTAGCCTAGAGGACTTGCCTCCTAGTGATTTCCAGGGCTGCTGCTCTTTCCACCACAGCGTCGCTCAGGGTGTGATCAGTGTTAGGAGAGAGTATTCGGTTCCACCCATCTTTTCATGTTAAGAACTTTGGAGCTGAGGTTAGCTGGGCCTGGCCTGGAGGGAGGGAACACATCACCCTCCCAGCCCTGCTCCCTGCTCTGCAGTGCTCTTCGGGGTGACCCAGCCTCCCTAGTACAGAGGGACTCTAAATCCCACTGGAGGGCTTTGGTCAAAAGATCATTACCTCTTCATTTTATTTTTTCAATTTTATTTATTTATTTTTTGGTTTTTTTGGGTGACACCCGGCAATGCACAGGGTTTACTCCTGGCTCTGCACTCAGGAATTAACTCCTGGCGGTGCTCAGGGGACCATATGGGATGCTAGGAATCGAACCCAGGTCAGCTGTGTGCAAGGCAAACGCCCTACCTGCTGTGCTATTGCTCCAGTCCCCTTTTCAATATTATTTTCATAAAGTTCACAATGATTTGTTACGTTTAATATTCTATCACCAAATCCCCCGCTGTTACACCTTCCCACCAGCGTCTTTGGAATTCGTCCACCCAGATCCCCAAAACCTGACCCAAAGCAGGACCTCAGTAATTTATTTTGCATTGTTTATTATGAATAATCCACTAAAAACGATCCCAAAAAGTTTCCTTCGAGGAAAGTTGTGTGAAGATTGTTATTTTTCACACTGGAGCCATTAAGCCCTTGTATGAGAGGTTACTAACATGTTGTTAAAGGTGGTAACGCTTCATGTTAGATGTGCTTTTTTTTTTAAACACGCCCATCCCCCACCCCTGTGTAAAAGATGACCCTACAGAAAGAAAACAAAGGAAGCCGGTTGGAGGAGAGTGAGCTAGCAGGTAGGGGGTGGCCAGTGAGAGTCTGTGGTACCACTGCAGCATGCATTTCCAGGACAGGCTGGGTGGACGTTTAGCAGCGGCTCTTCGGGCATTTCGAATCAGCCCGTGTTCCTTGCCGGGCCCCTGTGTGCCCGCCCAGCTGATCTCTGCGACACGCTGGCCAGGTGGGGGCTGCAGGAGCTTCTGTCTCATCTCCTCACCCTGTGGCTTTGCGAGCAATCCTGAGCTGCTCCAGACCCGTGATTTCCAGTCCTCACAGGTTAGAATTACCTGTGAACACAATAGAAGCCCCCGACCCACTTCCCCTTTCTGGTTTAATGGGTTTGGGTGTGGGGCCAGGTGGAAGTGACTTCTTAGATGTTATGAAGGGGCTGTCATATGAAGGTAGCACAATGGAGAGAGGGGAGGGCTTTTGCCATCCACACGGTTCAATTCTCAGAACCCCATAGGGTGCCCCGAGCACCGCCAGGAGTAATTCCTGAGTGCAGAGCCAGGAGGAACCCCCTGAGCATCTCTGGGTAGTGACCCAAAAAGCAAAGAAAAATAAAAATCGTGATCCCAGCCAGCATGGGAGCCACAGCTTAAAGCCAGCTCTGATCAAAACAAAGCTTAGGTCACATTCAAGCCAGTTGTGGATCAAGTTTCTGTCTGGCTGCAGCAGGGACCCAGGTTTTCTGACGATTTCTAGGAGGCTGTAGAGGTTTATTGCTTATTAGGCTGTAGAGGTGCCAGTGCCCGGCCAGCCTCTTGGTAAACCAGTCTCAGAGCTCTCTGGTCTGTTGGGGTGTGCGAGACGTGTGTCTTCTAAGTTCCTAGGAGATGCTCAGGCAGCCGGAGTCGGGGACACACATTGAGATGGATGAAGGGGGCTGGTGTCTCTCGCAGGAGTGGAATGCCCTCAGATGCAGGCAGGCCACCCAAAAGAGTTTTATGTCTGCTGCCGCGAGGCCACCAGAAATTCACAGGACTCTCGGGTTGCCGTGGACTCCTTTTCCTGAGCAGATGTGAGCAGTTGTTTGCAATACACGCACAGGGTGGTCCCGTTAAACCCTCCATCCAGGGCAGCCACGGGACCCTTTTTTTCTGCCAAGAGTTGTTGGAGTAATTATCACGTCATTCATGGGCCCTCGCCAGCCAGCTCCTGGATGTTGGCTGGCCTCACACCTGGCTCGTCCGTTGGCCCTGGGTCCTTGGAGCTCGGCTAGGCCAGTGTCCTGTGGGTATGCAGAGGAGAAACTACCCCTCCCAGCCAGCAGGCATGCTGTGTTGCACCCCACGTTGACGCAACAGTGACTACTCTGCTGGTGGCCGAATTCTGGGGACTTCAGAAGTTTCTCATTCTCCCATACGGAGTGCAGCCAGGCCTCAGGGCACAGTGATGATGATTGCTAGGTTTACAGCGGGTGCTGATTGCTAGGTTTGCAGCAGGCGCTCCAGGTGCGGGCTGCAGACGGGCTGCACCGCTGTCTCCTGGGCGCCTTAGGACTCCTGCTCAGCCCTCACCCCCTCCACAGCTTCTGGTCACAGATGACCCTCCCTGCAACCCGACCCTGGCGGTATTTTAATGTGTCCTGGGTTTCAGGGCTATGCACTCAAGACAGACAGGCACTGGCTTCTAAGACAGGTTGTTAGGCGGACCCCACCCCTCCCTGCCCATCCTGGGGCCCAGAGAGGGAAGAAGGGGGTCAGGAAGGAGCATGGGAATTGGCCTGTGAGTCAGCAAGGCTCTTGTGAGGGGACCCTGGGGGAATGAGGACCTCTGAAGCGTCCCTCTGTGACTCCCTGTCAAATCCAGGCCCAGGCATTGGTTAATACTTAGACCTTGACAGTACTCCCACTGCTATTAATACTCCACCGTTGATTAATGCTCAGGCCTTGATAGTACTCCTACTGCTATTACTACTCCACTGCTGTTAATACTCCTCTACCGTGTAGGGGTTTTGGCGTGGTGCAGACCCACCTCCGCCAAGTCGAGGTTGGTTTTCACAAGTTCCAAAATGAGTGAAATGGACCGCAGAGAATTCCATGGTGGTGACATCATCGGTGATTGCTTTTTCCTTTGCTTCCTAGCTGGTGACTGGAGTATGGGAAGGCCAGTACAACTTCTTCTGTCAGGGCACACGCAGCGCGGGAGAATCCGATATGAAGGTAATGTGTCTCTTTAAGAGTTGTTGACTGGGGCTGGAGCAGTAGCACAGCGGGGAGGGTGTTTGCCTTGCACGCGGCTGACCCGGGTTCAATTCCCAGCATCCCATAGGGTCCCCTGAGCACCGCCTGGGGTGATTCCTGAGTGCAGAACCAGGAGTAACCCCTGTGCGTTGCCAGGTGTGACCCAAAGAACAAATAAATAAATAAATAAATAAACACTAGTCCTCTTGTCATTTTGACACCCCCTCTTTTTTTTTTAAATTTTTATTAGTGAAACACCATGAGGTACAGTTGTAGATTCACAATTTTTTGTGCTTGGGTTTCGATTATACAATGATCAGATACCCATCCCTCCACCAGTGCCCATTTTCCACCACCATGGATAATATCCCCCCCACCCCCATCCCCCCATCCCTCCCTGCCTCTGTGGCAGGGCAATCCCTTGTGTTCTCTCTCTCCTCTTGGGTGTTGTGGTCTGCAAAAGAGGCTTTGAGTGGCAAACATGTTCAGTCCATAGTCTACTTTCGACATGCATCTCCCCTCCTGGGAGGATCCTCCAAACACCCTTTATTTGGTGTTCCCTTCTCTATCTGAGCTGCCCTTTCCCCTAGAATGCCCGGCTGGCCTCTAAGCTATGGAGTAACCCTCCTGGTGCTGATCTCAGCTATTCTTGGGTATTAATCTCATATTTTGTTACTTTATATCCCCCAGATGAATGCAATCTTTCTATGTCTATCCCTCTCTTTCTGACTCACTTCGCTAGCATGATACTTGTCCATTTCCTTTGGTTACAGGCTCATGCAGTAACCAGATCTTCCCATCTTGGCTTTTCCAAGTGAGCATGGGGTTCCGGGGGGTCTGTAAGCCTGCAGGTGACATTGAGGCACTGTTCCCCTCTTCCTCCTAGATCATCCGTGTACTGTGGTGGTACTACTTTTCCAAACTCATAGAATTCATGGACACCATCTTCTTCATCTTGCGCAAGAACAACCACCAGATCACGGTGCTGCACGTCTACCACCACGCCTCGATGCTGAACATCTGGTGGTTCGTGATGAACTGGGTCCCCTGTGGCCACTGTAAGTTGTGGGCGGAAGGAGCTGGGGGCCAGGGTGGGGCGGGGAGGCAGCCCACATGTGCCCGGAGAGACCGAATAGAAATGAAAACCACTTGGTTTTCATCAGGGCCACCATGAGCCAGCTCAGGGGCCAGGCGGTACCTGGGTTCGACACAGAGCCTTGCGGGAGACTAGACAAGTGTGCTCGGTCCGCGAGCGCCCTCCAGAGATGGTGCCTTGCATAGAGTTGTTCTACCTGCACATGTCCACATCAAGCCTCGGAGCTGCATTGCTCCAAAGGATAGTTTGGGGGCTGGAGCGATAGCACAGCGGGGAGGGCGTTTGCCTTGCACGCGGCCAACCTGAGTTCAATTCCCAGCATCCCTTATGGTCCCCTGAGCGCCTCCAGGAGTAATTCCTGAGTGCAGTGCCAGGAGTAACCCCTGTGCATTGCCCGATGTGACCCAAAAAGAAAAGAAAAACTCACAAAAAGGATAGTTTGTATGGCCCAGGCATTCCATATGCTAAGAAGACCTTGTCCTAGTTTGATGACTATCCTGGCGCTGATGTATTAATATAAGTGAAGGAAAATACCAGTTTCCCAGCCTGGGGGATAGAATGAAACTGGGACAATCTTTTCTGTCATAGAGGGCGGCTGTTCCCGATGACTTTGAGCCCTTATTTATTTATTTTTTTACAGTTATTGTGTTCGGTGGGGGTTGGGGGGGTGAGGACATGCCAGCAAGACAGAATCACAGCACTGAGCGCCAGAGAAGAGTGTTCAGGAACAGCTCATGAATTAACCTTGGCCAACTGTAGAGCATTAGGAGTCTAAGCAGGGCCGGCGGGAGAGTGTAGCAGGTTGAAGCACAAGGTCGGCAAGCATGATCCCCCCCTGGTTTTGTCCCCAGCGCCGCAAGGTCCTCCATGTGCCACCTGGAACAGCCTCTTAGTGTCCTGGCTTGTGGCCCCAGAATGGAACGCAACAACCAAACTGAGTTTGCGTTTTCTTTTCTTTTTTTTTTTTTTTTTTTTTTGCTTTTTGGGTCACACCCGGCGAGGCACAGGCTCTGCACTCAGGAATTACCCCTGGCAGTGCTCAGGGGACCATATGGGATGCTGGGAATTGAACCCGGGTCGCCCGCGTGCAAGGCAAATGCCCTCCCCACTGTGCTATCGTTCCAGCCCCTGGGTAAGCTTTGTAATAAAAACCGTCTCCTTATGTTTGACGAGCCTCATGCATGAAGGAACCCAGGTGTGCAGGACCCGGGGCGTAGATCTCCAAGCGTGCTCGGATTGGGACTGGGCCTCTTCCACCCAGATCCCCCATCTTCCAGGCGTTACACCCACCAACTGCCCCCAGCACCGTGTAATCCCATCAACGGCCAAGACCCAGAGACTATAAAACCCAGCTCCCGGAAGCACACAGCCACATTTGCGGCCACACGACATCTTATTATCTAGTTCTTACTCTGGAGAATCCAGCAGGCTACCAAAAGTATCCTGCCCACACGGCAGAGTCTGGCAAACTCCCCGTGGCGTATGCCAATATGCCAAAACCCAGTAACAATGATGGGTCTCATTCTCCTGACCCTGAAAGAGCCTTGAATGTGGCACTTTCTAAAATCTCAGGGCTAGGATGAAGGAGATGTTACTGGGGCCTGCTTGAGGCAATTGATGAACAACAGGATGACAGTGATACAGTGAAGATGACAGTGATATGTTTGAAGAGCAATTTACATGTTCAGTGTGGCTTTGGGATGACAGGGTTTCCATAACCCCATCTAGCCCATGAGAAACCAGCAGGGAAAAGAAGTGACTGATCCAGGGTCCCACTGCCGGGAGCAGAATCTCATGCCCTGACCCCACCTTTGCCTCCACTCTGGGCCAGCTCCAGCCAGCACCTGTCTGGCCCCTGACTTCTGTTCTAAGCCCTGCCCACCAGGGTTCCCCAGCGCCCAACCCTGGAATACCACTGAGAGCGGCCCCTGTTTGTGCATTCGAAAACAAAGCACAGGTACTTTGGTTGTTAGCCACGCAGGAGATGCGAGCTTTCAAAAGCCTGGCTGGGCCTGGAGTGATAACACAGCAGGTAGGGCGTTTTGCCTTGCACGCAGCCTGACCCGGGTTCAATTCCCAGCATCCCATATGGTCCCCCGAGCACGGCCAGGAGTAATTCCTGAGCGCATGAGTAACCCCTGTGCCTCGCCGGGTGTGACCCAAAAAGGAAGAAAAAACAAAAACAAAAACAAAAGCCTGGCTGACAGGGATGTAACTTCGAGGTCCTGCTGATGTCTTCGTTGTATGAGGTCCTCAGTTTCCACTCAGCAACAATCTCCACCAATCCCCACCCCACCCCACCCCCCGCAAAAAAATCCCCTGGTTGGTCCTACGAAAAATGAGGAGTCAGATGATAAGAGATGGAGCTTCTCTCTCTAAAGAACTGGATTCTGAACTCTGCCAACCCAGTGGGAATCGCAAACCCCAGCTGACGTGGAGAGAGCCGGCAGTGAACTGTTTGTCCTGGGCGCACTGCACTCTGCTGCTTCAGCTGTCTGGGGCGGGGGAGGGCCGGGTGCTCCGTGTTGGGCTGCTTCCCTCTCCTGGTCTCGTGGCCACCCCGTTGCTGTCACGAGTCCCGGCCTCAGAGAGCCTCCTGACGGCTGTGTGCCCAGGTGGGCGTCGAATCCCGACCACGTCTGCAGCGTCTCTTTGAGAGTCAGAAAAACGCGCGGGCTAGTTGCTGTGGAACTGGCACCGGGTAAGGTAACTGACGTCTCTCCCCCCCCCCACCCCCCCCCCCCCAAAACCTCTCTGTTCCTCTGTTCCTGCAGCTTATTTTGGGGCCACGCTTAACAGCTTCATCCACGTGCTCATGTACTCGTACTACGGGCTGTCCTCCATCCCGTCCATACGGCCGTACATCTGGTGGAAGAAGTACATCACCCAGGGCCAGCTGGTGAGTTGGCTCAGCCTGTGTCCTCAGGCTTGCTGCGGTGGGGGGGTGGGGGGGGGCGGGGGGGCTTGCCCCTCGTCCTTTGCCTTTGCTGAATAGTCTTGGAGACGGCGCCTCTCACACTCGCCCCAGTTCAGTTCAGCGCCTGCCGCAGACCGAGCCGGGAATTCAGGCTTTAATTAACGGAGAAACCGTTCCCAGGCGTACCGTGAGCTGCAAGGTGGAGACTAGAATCTTCATTTCCCCTAGTGCAGGCTCCGTTGTTTGATCTCAGCGCGTGCGTGCGTGCGTGTGTGTGTGTGTGTGTGTGTGTGTGTGTGTGTGTGTGAGAGAGAGAGAGAGAGAGAGAGAGATCTCTGATTATACTCCCAGATCTGCAGTGGAAGCTGCCTGTGAATTGCCCAGATAGGGGCTGGTAGCACCTGTTGGCCTTCGGTGTGGTTAGCCCTCCCCTCCTTCCTCTTGAGTGTGGACCCCCTTCTTCACCCCTTAGGCATCCCTTCCTGCTCTCTTCCTTATCGCCGGCATGCCCTCGACCCAAGCAGTCAGCTCTACGCGGGGTCGTTCCAGTAGCCTGACCGTTATTGCCCTGTTAGACGGATGAGGACTCTACAGAGCTAGGTCCGAGTGAGCAGACCGAGGGGAGACCAGAAGCCCTGAGCCCCCTCTTGTCCTTGATTTCTGGAGGGAAACCCATTTTCCTGCAGAAAGCAAGCCAATGTGTTGTTGCCCTCCACATCTGTGATTCACTTTTCTGTACGTGTGTGTGTGTGTGTGTGTGTGTGTGTGTGTGTGTGTGTGTGTGTGTGTGTCTTGGGGGGGGAATGGGGCAGCGCCCCTGAGGTCTCTGAAGCCACTTGGCCATTTCATTATCACCTCCTTGCCAGCTGCTTCGTGGGACCTCGTTAATTTTTTCTCACCCTGCTGTGACGCTGTGCTTGGCCTGGAGGCCAGACCGATTGATTTGCCTTGCCTGCCTGGTGGAAAGAAGCAGGATTCGAGAGAGCAGCAGAATGGGGGCTGTTCTCCAGAGCCCTCTCTGCCCTTTGGGGTAGCAGATGGCATCTGGTTGGCCAGGGATTTTTTTTTTTAAGCACCATGCCTTGCTGTTCCTTAGGGCAGATTACTTGTCCTAAAAAAACAGGGGCAGAGATAAACAAACCAAAGCAGATCTCTGGATGGAAACCTGAGAACCGCAGGCACTGACCTCCCAACCCTGTTTCTGAGGGGGCCATCACACCTGCTGGCAACCGACTGTCCTCAATTCCTGACACTCCCCCCAATCCCACCCCCCGCCCCAACCCGTTTTCACCACTTCTCAAGATTGACTTGAAATATCTGTGCACTTAGGGTGCATCCTGGTAGCTGTTTGGGTCTGATTCATCTGGCTCCCCCAAACCCCAACGTCCCACCCAGAGTCGCTAGGGAGCCGGCAGGCTCAAACATCCTGCCCTGATGTCAGTGGTTTCCTCTAGCAGACCGTACTGCGCCCTTCCTTCCGCCGAGGCTCCCAGAGCCCTGGCATCATGTGTGGCATCGTGGAGTGGGCCCTAACATCGCGGTTTGTTTGGCGTGCTTGTCGCAGATTTTCTCTACCTTCCAGTTTGATCACTAATTGACAACGGGACATTGCAAAGTCGAAGGTGTGCTTGAAAGTTTCAGGTTTCATGGTTTGTTCCTTGGTTGTGTTGAGAAATGGCCACCGCAGTTAAGTTTAGTTAAGGCATCCCTTCCCTCACACAGCTAGCCTGTTTCTTCATAAAATGTGAACCTGTACCGGGACACGCGTGTACACACTGTTCCCGGCGGTACTGGCCTGCAGGGTCCCTGGTCCTGTGCTCCGATGCTTTGAGTTACCCCCAAGTGAGACCTTTTCAGAGCTACTCTCTCTTTTTTTTTAATTTTTAATTTTTTATTTATTTATTTTATTTTATTAGTGATGCACCATGAGGTACAGTTGTAGATTTACAAATCGTTGTGCTTGGGTTTCGGTCATACAATGATCAAATACCCATCCCTCCACCAGTGCCCATTTTCCACCCCCATGGATAATATCACCCCCCACCCCCCCTACCCCCACCTCTGCGGCAGGGCATTCCCTTTTGTTCTCTCTCTCCTTTTGGGTGTTGTGGTCTGCAAAAGAGGCATTGAGTGGCAATCATGTTCGGTCCATAGTCTACTTTCAACACGCATCTACCCTCCTGGGAGGATCCTCCAAACAGCCTTTATTTGGTGCTCCCTTCTCTATCTGAGCTGCCCTTTCCCCTAGAATACCCGGCTGGCCTCTAAGCTATGGAGTAATCCTCCTGGTGTTGATCTCAGCTATTCAGAGCTACTCTCTTAACTTTGGAATTTACTTCATGGTATTGTCATGTTTGCCCTGAATTTATGAAAGGCGATTTGGGTAGCTGATCTATCTAGCTCAGGGCTGCTAGTCTTCCCTCGATCTGCTCACTCGGATCTAGCCTCTTCCGCCCTGAATTTATGGAAGGTGTGACTTGCAGAACACAGGGTGTTGGTGTATTGTGTGCATCCTGTTTCTGGTAGTTCAGAATGGTGACTAAGTGGAAGCAGAGACTCAGCGTACAGGGGTCAGGGCCTACCCTTCTGTCCCCGTGGCGCTCAGCCCTGGTCCCTTCCTCCCGCAGCTCCAGTTCGTGCTGACCATCATCCAGACCACCTGCGGCATCATCTGGTCATGTAGTTTCCCTCTGGGTTGGTTGTACTTCCAGATCGGATACATGATTTCACTGATCACGCTCTTCACCAACTTCTACATTCAGGTAAATCTCACTTTGTCTGGTGACAGTTGAGGTTTGGGGTCTTTCCAGCCAAGGCCCTTGTCCATTCACTGACCATGAGGCAGGGACCGTGCTTGCTGGATTCTCCTGTGGCCGCCATGGCAGGACAGTGCCTCCACTTCAGGTGTTTCCTGACTTCCGGCATCTCCGGAGAGAGCAAGACTGGGCATTCCTGCAGGAGAAGCACATGGGCTTACAAGGGGCTGGCATGGTTTCTGACCGGCGGTGGAAAACCCTAGGAAAGAGGTGGTTTTCGGTCACAGCCCTGCAGTTCTTTTTTTTTTTCTTTTGGGGTCACAGTTGGCAATGCACAGGGGTTACTCCTGGCTCATGCACTCAGGACTTACGCCTGGCAGTGTGCTCGGGGGACCATAAGGGATGCTGGGAATTGAACCTGGGTCAGTCACATGCAAGGCAAACGCCCTACCTGCTGTGCTGTGGCTCTGGCCCCCAGCCTTGCAGCTCTTCAGCCCACTCCATGGGAAACTTAAGTGTCCAGGGCTACGCCCTTCCCTGTCTTCAGATGCATACATAGAAACCTGCTCTTTTGTCCCAACTTTCAGGTTTGGGGGCTCTCATCACTCCCCTGTGCTCCGTGTCCTAGAGGTCATTGCCCACAGGAGGGTCACTGGAGGGCAGCGATCTCTTGGGAGCCCTGTGATCACAGCCCGATGCTGCTCCTTCCCGCTGGCCAGGCCCTGGGTTGAGAGGTGGCTCTCCACGGTTCCTCTTTCTGTGCCCACCATAGCGGCTTAGGTTACCCATGAGACCCGTGCCTTATGGGAGGTTCAAGAAATGGGGCTGGAGTGATAGCACAGCGGGTAGGGCGTTTGCCTTGCATGCAGCCGACCCAGGTCGATTCCCGGCATCCCATATGGTCCCCTGAGCACCGCCAGGAGTAATTCCTGAGTGCAAAGCCAGGAGTAAGCCCTGAGCATCGCCGAATGTGACCCAAAAAAAATGCAAAAAAAAAAAAAAAGTAGGTGACATCAAAATCTCACCCAACCAAAGTCCTGACTAATGGACAGAGCTTCTTTTCCCTGAAAGGCAAAAGCAGGGTGTATTGAGCACAAATTGCTGTTGTTTCCTGGGGGGTGGGAGTTGGTGTGCTTGTTTGGTTTTGTGGTGGCAGGGTGTCGTGCATGCAAGGCCTGTGCTGACCGCAGAGCTCCAACCCTGGCCCATAGACAGGCTCCTTTGGACCAGGGATAGGAGTGGCAGGAGACAGTCTTCAGAGTGGGAGAAGCCCGTTTGGCCGCATGATCCTTTCCTGCCATCCCAGATGCGAAAGGGCAAGCTGAGTACAGTACAGAATGAATGAAAAAAGCATTTTTTTTTTAAAAAAAGCATTTTGTTTGTTGTTTTTAGCTCAGACCTGGCAGTGCTCAGGGCTTAGTCGTGGCTCTGTGCTCAGGGATGGTCTCGGGATCATATGGGATGCTGGGGATCGAACCTGGGGTGGCCGCATGCAAGGCAAGTGACCTCTTCGCTTGCTATATTGCTCCAGCTGCCCCCACCTCTTTTTTTTTTTTAACTAGTTCTTCTGCAGTCTGTGTTTCCGTGGACTTAACCTCAGATTAGGGCAACAGCAACAATGGGTAGGGTGTTTTGCCTTGTAGGTGTCCAACCCAAGTTTGATCCCCCGGCATCCCATATGGTCCCCAGACGACCACCAGGAGTAATTTCTTGAGTGCACACCCAGGAATCACACCTGAGTGTCACCGATATGACTCAAAAAAATAAAAAAGCTAAAAAAAAGCAAAAAACCCCCCCAAAAAACCAAAAAAACAACCTCAGGTTAAGCCTCAGTAAATGGATGAGTTAGTTGAACATCAAGTGAGTCCTGGAGATCACTCCTGACTCCATGAGCAAAAGGAAGGGGAAAAAAGAGAGAGCTTGCAAACAGGTTGTCACAAAAGGCCTGGCATTGGGGGTACACCTCCCCCTCCTCTCTTCCACACCACCCCCCCATACACATACACACACACACACTTCCCGCCAGAGGCTCTCATCCGCCTTCCTGCATTTCAGACCTACAACAAGAAGGGATCTTCCCGGAGGAAAGAGCACCCCAAGGAGCACCAGAACGGCTCAGCAGCGATGGTGGTCAACGGGCACACCAACAACTTCGCTCCGCTGGACAACAGCGTGAAGCTGAGGAAGCAGCGGAGGGACTGAGCGCGGGTCTGACTCGCGTCCCCCCGGCCGTGTGGCCCGCAGCTCCTCTGGCCTCTTCTAGTGTGGCCCTGCAGGGCCGCGTCAGTCCCACCCCCCTAGAACGCGTGCACACAGATTCTGCAGTAGGCATTCGATCGCTAACGTTCCTGGGCTCTCACCCCCGCCTGCGCCACGCCGTGCCGCGGAGGGGGGTGTCCTCGTAGTAGCCGACACTGCTGTTGCCTTATTAGTTATAACCTGATAGGTGCTGAATTGTGACTCACAATTTAAGAACACTGTAATCCCAACTTTCTTTTTTTTTTTGTTTTTACTCTAGATCATGCATGTGACTGTAAATTTGTACAATGTTGTGACCGTAGAGAAACACACATGCCTTAAATTTACAAAGCAGGGCCCAAAGCTTATTAGTTTCAATTTAGGGTATGTTGCAAGGTTTTAATTCATTTTTAATAGTGCGGTATAAGGGGGGGAAAAAAACACAGTCAAAGACGGTGACACCTAATTTCGAACACCTTGTAACAACAACAGCGACAACAACAAAAATCAGAAAGGCACCTTGGGTTTTGTAATCTTGGCTTTAAGTCAGAGAGCCGATCAAGTGGGACAGGCAGTTTTAACTTTTTAACAGATCTTATTTTTTTATTTTGAGTGCCACTATTAATGTAAAAGGGGAAAACATATGGGGGGCTTGAAAGCTGTCTTGCGGAACATGAATACTTATTCTTTGCCTTCAGGATTTTTAGGAGGTGAGTCACATGTGTAGGCCATTCCAGCTTCCTCCGCTGCTCCGTGCTTTCTTTTCTGGCAGGAAACGGCCCGTTTTGTTTTTCACTCACAAGCAGTTACGTGCTTTTCGAGAGAGATCACCTTGGTATTTGCCATAGACAGTGGGGAGCTGGTTTCCAGGGTCTCATTAGATTGATTTCAGTCATAGACTGCTACCTGTTTTGACACAAACTTTTCTTTTAAAATGTGCCTAGACTACCCAAATTGATAGGGAGAAAAGGGACCTTACAATTTTTTTAAGGTGAAATTAAACGGCTGCTATCACGCGGAACTAAGAGATCATTTTTGATGTGAATCTAATCGCACCACCTATAATTTTTTTTCCTTCTTCCTGCTTTAGATGCTGAAAATTTGCTTAGAAGCGCTTATTTAAAAATCATAGACTGGCTTCTCGTAAAATCATGTGTTCCCCCCCCCCCCCCATTGAGGCAGAGATTAAACAGTTAAGGACATGTTTAAGATGTGTCATTTTAAAGTGTTGGAATTTAGCCTCTGGATACCTCCTTTTACATGTGGGGGTGGGGGGGGTGGGCTGGGGAGAATCATCATAGAACCACTCAACATACTTAGAAGGACATTGGAAATGTGTAAACTAATTGTTGGTTTGATATTTATGTAAATATCAGTTTATCATGCTTTAATTTTGCACATTCATATTCTAGGGAGCTGACTGGCTCTTATATTATTAGTCTTGTGGGTTTTCTCTTTGGAAGGAGTCATAGCATCTGTTTACATTGACCTTATCAAATCTAGAACGTGTATATTTGTAAATGTTTGTCTTCCCAGGTACTAGTTTGCAAATGTCGTCACAGAATTCAGTACAGGAACTATAACATTCGGTAGTATGCTGTCAAAGTGTGCTCGAGCTCACCTGGATAGATCCACACTGTTAAATAATGTCTAAACATTAATCATTAAAACACTTTCGATTACCCGTCGTGGCTGTTTGCTTTGTCTCTGTGCTGCCAGTTCTGAGAGACACGCGGACAGTTCAGCGTCTGTACCTTTGGTGCAGTTGGATTTACTCAGCGGTTGTAAGTCATTTGACTTGAAGGTTAGATTGCTCTGTGTGTGTGTGCTCAAGGAGCACATGGTCTTCCCTCTCCCCTGCCCCCACCCACCACTGCCACCTCCCACTGTTGGAGGCTTCTCTTCTCGATAGGAGGGTCACATACTTTTTCTAGTGATAAGTGCATATTCTCGGCTTTCAAAGGCAGTACTCCAGAGAACACAGTTGGTAGAGCACAGACAACTTGACAGCCATGCCTGTGTCCCACGAAGGCAAATAAGCAGGGTTTTCTAACCTTTAGGCAATTTCTTAAACTTTTCCCACTTCGGCAGAGCCTGGCAAGCTACCCGTGATGTATTCGATATGCCAAACACAGTAACAACAAAGTCTCCAATGGAGACGTTACTGGGCCCGCTCGAGCAAATCGATGAACAACGGGAAGACAGTGGCAGTGGCAATCTTTGGGTAGTCATTGTTCCACCACCACCCCACTTAGCTCTTTCACCGAGGACTTTTTTTACATGATATGTAGATATAAAAAAATAGAGATACACATCTACACAATGGAATACTATGCAGCTGTTAGGAAAAATGAAGACATGAAATTTGCCTGTAGATGGATGGACATGGAGAGTATCACGCTGAGTGTGAAATGAGTCAGAAGGAGAGGGACAGATAGAGAAGGACTGCGTTCATTTGTGGTAGATTTAAAATAAATAGTAGAAGACTGATATTCATGACCATGGAAAGAAGGGGCCAGGAGGACTGGCCAGTGGTTGGAATCTACCACGAGTGTGTCAGGGGCAGAGGGTAGATAGGATAGAGAAGACACCAGTATGATAAAAATTGCTGTGAATGATCACATTGAACAGGAACGGAGTGTTAAAAGTAGGTCCAGGAATGTTTCCGATGGTCTTTCAGTATCTCTTGCAAATCACAATGTCCAAAAGGGAGGGTGGGAGAGAGAGAGAGAAGTACCTGCCATCGAGGCAGGGTGAGGTGGGAATGATGGGATATATACACTGGTGGAGGGATGGGTGTCAAACGGTGTGACTGAAACCAAATCATGAACAGCTTTCGAAGGGTCTCACAGTGAGTCAATAAAACAAATTTTTTAAATGGATATAAAGATCAGCATTTAGTAAAATAAATTTTTAAAATTTATAGCAAAAAATAGAGGTTTTGGAGAGAAACAAAAACAGGTAGCGCCTGGGAGACCATATGTGATGATAGAGATCTAATTGGGGTTGACTGCACGCAGGTGCCTTTTACCCCTGATCTTCCAGATTTGTCTCTCCGATCCAATTTTAAAAGACTTTTCAGGATTTTTTTTATGAGAACCCCATCCCACCCCTGCATTCACTAAGGCACCCTCGTCTAGGAGCATACCACAAAGTTGGTTTCAAGAGTAATGGTCCCCAAAATCTATCGCTTTGTTTGCAAAATACCATTTCAGGTCCCAAATCCTGTTGCCCCCAACATCCAGCACCCCAGTCTGGCCATGAGTTCCCCTGTGGGGGAACCGTGTGAAAGCTGTTGACTTCCGTCTCCTTCATTCCACTGGGTCCCTAGTGAGAGGCTTGAATGTGCTTATTGGGAGCTTTCTGGTTGTCACTTCATCACGATCACGATCATCCTGTTGTTTGTTGATTGCCTTGAGCAGGCACTAGTAATGTCTCCTTCCTAGCCCTGAGATTTTTAAAGAGCCATATTTAATGCTCTTTCAGGGCTAGGAGAATGAGACCTATCATTGTCACTGGTATTTGACATATTGAGTATGACACAGGAAGTTTGCCAGACTCTGCCGTGTGGGCAGGATACTTTCGGTAGCCTGCCGGGTTTGTCCAAAGTAAGAATGAGCTAAGATGTCACGGGCCGCAAATGTGGCCATGTGCTTTCGGGAGCTGGGTTTTATAGTCTCTGAGTCTTGGCTGTTGATGGAAACCACCTGGCACTGGCAGCAGCTGGTAGGTATAGCACCTACCTACTAGAAGATGGGGGATCTGGATGGAGAAGGCCCAGTCCCAATCCGAGCAGGCTTGGTGATCTCAGCCCCGGGACCCGCATGCCTGGGTTCCGTTGCCAGTTCCTTCATGCATGAGGCTCGTCTGGACGTGTGGAGAGTGGTCCCAGCATGGCTGTGGCTGGTTCTGGAGGTCTTCGGCTGCCGGGGCTCTGCTTGGGGCAGGGAGGGAAACTCAACCCGCGCCCCTCCAAGGGGCCCCGGTGAGGACAGCCAGGCGCGGGGGCAGGAGACTCTGCACGGTTCTCTTCTGGGAGCTGGGTTTTATAGTCTTCGGGTCTTGGCCGTTGATGGGAACCCCCTGGTTACTTCATATTTGAAATATTAACGGGAAAAGTGTGAAGGACAGTTCGGGGCTGGGTGGCGATTCTTAGGTCCTGTCTTTGCGTTTGAAGTCCAAGTTTAAAGCACAAATCAGACTCATGGAGCTCCAAGTTGCTCATCTCTTACTGAGAAGAAGAAATTGGGGAAGATTAGCATAGGACTGTCTAGAACTTTCCCTGGTCAGTAATCCTGTTGCACAAGCTAACCAGGCCTGGCACTGGCAGGACCAAGGTTGTCTGCGCACCTCCGTCTGTTCGTGATGAACTGACTGCTAAAGAATTTTGGACTGCAGCCCTGGAATGTGCCCAACTTCGATTACAAACTCCCCTGGTCATGCCAAATGCTGCCCCGTGGCCTTCCCCTGCCAACAGAGCCTGGGTCCACCGCAGCCGTCCTCCCCTCCACTCTAGGTTGAGAGACGAGCTAGACCAGACACGTTCCTACCTCTTCCGTGCCAGCATAGCAGCCCAGGGGCAAGTTTGTTTGCCACTTAGAAAGGCAATGGGTGGCCATTCTCACTTTCCCCAGGGCCAGCAGGCTGGACGCTCTTATGCCAGAGCAGCTGTGTTCATGAAAGGAGACTGGGGCCACATTGTCGAGCTGGAACTCTCACCTTAAGCCTATAGGAGAAGGGCTTTACTTCTGCTTCAGTGTTTGCATCGGCAGGTAGGAATAGTTTTTACATCTTCAGGTCAGCATGAGGCATGAGTTGATATACAGGCTCTGGAGAGATAATTCAACTGATCGGGTGTTTGCCTTACACTCATTCAACCTGGGGTTGATCCTGGGTAGCACGTTCGTTTCCCCAGAGCACCACCAGGAGTGATTCCTGAGCACAGCTGGGTATGGCTTAAAAAAGCAAACTGGGTGTGAGTCTCCCATTTTGTTACTTTATGTTCCCCCAGATGGATGCAATCTTTCTGTGTCTATCCCGCTCTTTCTGACTCATTTCGCTTAACATGATATTTTCCATGTAGTACCGCTTGTATGTAAATTTCATGTCTTCATCTTTTCTAACAGCTACATAGTACTCCATTGTGTAGATGTCCCAAAGTTTCTTTAACCAGTCATCTGTTCTTGGGCCCTCAGGTTTCTTCCAGTTTCTGGCTATTGTAAAGAGTGCTGCAATGAACAAACAAGTGCAGATGTCACTTCGACTATACATTTTTGCCTCTCTGGGGTATATTCCCAGGAGTGGTATTGCCCAAACATGATTGCCACTCAATGCCTCTCTTGCAAACCACAACACCCAAAAGGAGAGAGACAGAGAACAAAAGCGAATGCCCTGCCACAGAGGCAGGGTGGGATGGGGCAGTTGGGGGGGTGGGAGGGATGTTGTGACCCGTGGTGGTGGAAAATGGACACTGGTGGAGGGATGGGTACTTGATCATTGTGCAACTGAAACCCAAGCACAAAAATTTGTAAGTCTATAACTGTACCTCATGATGTTTCACTAATTAAAAAAAAAAAAAACTAGGTTGGAGCCATAGCACAGCGAGTAGGGCGTTTGCCTTGCACATGGCCATCCCGGGTTCGGTTCCCAGGATCCCATATGGTCCCCCAGCACCGCCTAGAGTAATTCCTGAGTGCATGAGCCAGGAGTAACCCCTGAGCATCTCCGGATATGACCCAAAAAGGAAAAAAAAAAAAAAGCAAATAGACAAAGCCTTGGAACCTGGTCTCTACAGAGATTGTAGACAATTTGTAGACAATTCTCTTCAAGATGCAGTTCTGCTCTGTCCATTGTTCTTGGTAAACTCAGGTTTTGTTTCACTTCTGTTGTTGTTTTTTTGGCTGGTTGCTCTAGTGATCAGATAAAGAAAGGACAGGACTGTAAGCCCCCCAGCTGACACAACCACAAACAAAAGCGGTCACAACAACAAAAGCGCAGGGAGGCCTCGTTGTCAAATGAAGTGGGAAAGAAACCAGCAAGTGCTAGGTGTTAAAACACTCGCCCCTACGCCAGTCCAGAATCCCCAGAGCTTGAACTCCTGAGTTCCTTTCTTTGCGAAAATAGGGCAGTATTTTCAGTCTCGGGTCTTTATTCTAACTCATCATTTCTATTATTACTTCCCACATGTTCTGACAGTCATTCTGTTTTGGTACCTGGATAGGTCAAGTGATTTCATTTTTAAGATCCTCGTCCACTATCGCCCCTTGGGTCCCTTCAACATTTTCTGCATTCTTAACCTGGGAATATTGTTCCCTGCAGAGAAGAGCAAAACAGTGGGTTTTTGTTTCGTTTTGTTTTGTTTTGTTTTTGTGGTCCCAGTGTTGTCGTTGCCGTGACCAGGATCACATACTTGCTTGGGGTGAGTTGGAGTTGGGAGATTGCGTGGGGATTCCAGATGACCGTGCTACTGGCGAGTACTCAGCCAGTGGAGTCCAGAGTCCACGCCAGCAAGGCAGGGCCCCCAGACATAGTTTTAAAGTCCACTTTTGTTGTTCTTGGCACATCTATGAGCGCTCCCCGGCCTCCCTCCAAACACCGCCAACTGTGCTTTTTATGTGGATGTGTGGTGCCAGGAATCAAACCCTGGGCCTCATCCAGGCCAGGCACGTGCTCTACCACTGGGAC